TAAATTTCTCTGTAGTGTGTTTGCTTTCTACTGCATTTCATTGATTTCTCCACTTATACCTTTATTATTTCATTTAATCTATTTTTTGTGTTTAATGTGCTGTTCTTTTTTTAAGTTCTTGAGATGAAAACTTAGGTGTTGATTATCAGTACTTTTTCTTTTCTAATATTGGAACTTAAGGCTACAAGCATGGCTCTAAGAAATGCTACTTTGATAGCATTGCAAAAGTTATGGTATACCATATCATGAACGTTTTTCTGATGTTTTCTTACTTCCATTGTGATTTCTTCTTTTACTCGTGTAAAAGTATGTTCCTTAATTGCCAAAAGTTGGAGATTTTCTAGTTATCTATACTATTATTTTATAGTTTAATTCAATAGTGGCCATGAGCCTATTCTGTGTTATTCAATTATTTGAAATTTGTGCTGTGTGCACCATCTGAGGGATGGACATGCTTGAAGCTCTGACTCAGATGGGGCAAAGGCAATATGTGTAACCCAAACATTTGTACCCCCATAGTATGCTGAAATAAAAAAAATTAAAACAATTCACTTTGGCTGAATTAACACAGAAAAACAAAAAGAAATCTGTTAAGATTAGTTTTGGGCACATAGCCAATATGCATTTAAATGTAATGTATATTTTCACATAATTGAATTCACTGCTCAGTTTATGCCAATAAGTCATTGGTTGTGTTGTTCATACATTCTGAATTCTTAAAATTTTTTTGTTTCTTTTATTGTGCATGAATAGTGATGAGTTAAACTCTCTCATATGCTTTTGAATGTTTTTATTTTTCTTCTTACTTCTGCCAATTTTTGCTTATCTACCTATCATCTATCTATAGTCATATGTATATGTTACTAGGCTTATACAAATTTATAATTTTATATGCTGCTATTGGTTTGATCTGTTATCAGTATTTCTCTAGAAATTTATCCAGTCTTAAAATCTAGTTTGTTTTATACTAATGTAATATGCAGATTCCTTTTGAACAGTGTTTTTATAGTATATATATATTTTTATTTCAGCATAATATGGGGGTACAAATGTTAAGGTTCACAGTAGTCATTTCTTGTGTTCTTATATTTAAGGTGTACATCTAATAAATAGCATGGGTTAGATTTTATTTTTAATATTTTAGTCAGAATATTTAAACCCTTTATATTCAATATAATTACTCATAAGGGTTTAATAGGTAATATCATACTATTTGTTTCCATATAACCCACTTGTTTTATATTTTTTATGTCCTTTCTTACCTTCTTTAGGATTCATCAGTTATTTTTTACTATTCTATTTCCCCTTTATTAGTTTGTCAGATACACATTCTTTTTCTTTGTCTTTTTGTGGTTATCATAGCTATTAAAACATGCATCTTCATTCATTTATATTTAGTCATATACTTACCCTTATTACCTTTCCTTATTCATTTCTTTCTTTGATTTTTATCCCCCTGAGATTGTTTTCCTTTTCTCTGAAGATCTCTCTTTAATATTTATTTTTTAGTTTACCTCTGGTAGCAACAAAATCTCTAAGTATTTGTTTATCTGAAAAATTTTTTCTCATCTTAATTTTTAAAAGATATTTTCTCTGGGAATAAGATTCCCTTCCAGCACTTCAAATATCATTTCACTGTCTTTTAGTTTTATTGTTTCTTTTAAGATTGTACTGTCAATCTTAATGCTTTTATAAGGCAATGTTTCTACTATCTTAAGTACTTTTATAATTTTTCTTTGTTTTTGGATTTAAGCAGCTTTATTATTATGTGCCTAGATGTAATTTTGCTTACATATAATGTTCTCAGGTTTGCCAGAACTTCTGAATTCTTTGGTTGCTATCTTTCATCATTATTTGAATATATGTGGCTATTACGTATTCAAATAGTAATGCTACCCCATTTGCTCTGTTCTTCTTATGGAACTCAATAATATGCATATTATATTTTTTCATTGTGTCTTACATTTACCTTATGCTTTTCTGTATTTTCATTTTTTCTGTGCTTCAGTTTGCATGATATTATTAATTCATTTTGCAGTTTCTTATTCTCTATTCTATTGTGTATGGTCTTCTACTATATGCATCTTTAGAGTTATTTCTATTATTTTTTAGGTTAAAATTTCATTTATTTATTTTTACACAGTCTAATTTGCTGGTGAAATTCTCAATATTTTCATCCATTTTCTCCATCTTTTCCTCTTTTTTAAATACTAATCATATTTACTTAAAAGTTTTTTCCTGTTAAATTTCCAATATATATCAGTTTTTAATTTTGTTTTTTAAATTCACGTAGTCTTATCTCTTTGAATGTTTAGTAATTTATATTTGAATGTCATTCATAAATTTTTGCTAGTGTAGTGTCTCCGTATATTATCTTCCTGCAGCAATTTCTTTTTCTTTTTTCTTTTTTTTTTTTGGCCAGGAATAGAGTGTGAGAGCTTAATTTAATCAGTAACCAAGCTAAGTCAAGATCATTTGCAGCTTTGGTATAAATTTTTTCCTACTGCTGGTTTGCTTCTATTCAGTGTCTCGTCTACTATTTCCATTCTGTAATTTAGTTTATTCATTTGTGTTTTTCTCCCTTGTAGGCCATGTAATTTTATTTTTATTTATTCAGTTTTATAAGAGTGTAAAAATCTACCGTCTATTTTTCAGAAGTGTCTTATCTGTCATCTGTGCAGCTTCGGAGAATGACAAAATATCCTGTGAGGAAAACCTGTCATGTGTCAGGGTCATTCTACCCCTCCCTTCTCACTAGGATTTTTAGCCCCACAGGTCTCAAATTTCATCATTTATCCCATGCAACTACCAAAAGATCTGCTGTTTTCTCTGTCCCAGGAATTCATTCTGCTGCAAGAGGAAAGCCTGGATTCTCAGATTCTTTTTTTTTTTTTTTCATTTCAGAATATTATGGGGGTACAAACACTTTGGTTACATATATTGCTTTTGCACCTCCTGAGTCAGAGCTACAAGCCTGCCTATCCCCCAGAAAGTGCACACCGCACACATTAGGTGGGAATTTACCCATATCCTTCTCTCCCCTCCCAGCTGCCCAACACTGGATGAATGTTACTTTCACGTGTACACAGATTCTTATCCTGAGGTCAGGATTGACCAATGTCCTCAGGAAAAACCCCACGTCGGGTCTATGAGCTTACTTACTATTTAAATTTGCCTCCATCCAAAATCTATAGTCTCTCTAGTTTACTGTTTACTCCAGCAGTTCCCCAAAACCTTCACGTTTCTATAACAAAACATCATAGACTGGGTAGCTTACAAACAACAAAAATTTATTTCTTGTGGTTCTGAAGTCTGGGAAGTCCACGATCAAGGCAGAAGTGTCTGGCTCATACGTGGTATCTTTTCACTATGTCCTTACATGGTGGAAGGGGAGGAGCTCCCTTGAGCCTATTTTATAAGAGTACTAATCTCATGCATGAGGTCTCTGCTCTGATGATCTAGTGACTGCACAAAAGGCCTCACCTCCTAATATCATCACCATGAAGTAAGGATTTCAACATATAAATTTTGAGGGGGACACAAACATTCAGATTATAGCATACATGTGTATTTTTAATTAATAAATTATTTTTAGAGCAATTTTAGGTTTACAGAAAAATTACTTTAAGTAGAAAGTGCAGAGAGTTCAAATGCATTTTATTTATTTATTATTTATTTTTCTGAGACAGAGTCTCACTCTTTTGCCCAGGCTAGAGTGCCGTGGTGTCCGCCTAGCTCACAGCAACCTCAAACTCTAGCGATTCTTCTGCCTCAGCCTCCCAGAATAGCTGGGACTACAGGCATGTGCCACCATGCCCAGCTAATTTTTTCCATATATTTTTAGTTGGCCAATTAATTTCTTTCTATTTTTAGTAGGGACAGAGTCTCACTCTTGCTCAGGCTGGTCTTGAACTCCTGAGCTCAAAGGATCCGCCCGCCTCAGCCTCCCAGAGTGCTAGGATTATAGGCGTGAGCCACCACTCCCGGCCTACATTTTAAAATTACCGTTGATTGTTCTTAACAGGAATGTTGATCTATTGCAAGATATCCACCTTACCAACAATTGGGATTACTACTTCTTGAGGTGATCAATACATTAAAAAGGAAACATTTAAAATCCACACACAAGTTCTCCAAGTTGTAAATAATCTACTTATATATTTAAAACACTGGAAAAAATATTTCAGCAACTATAAAAATGGTTAAAAAGCTCACAGAAGTTGATAATCAAAATATTAATACAATAGCTACATGATACAATTTATAAAACGTTTTAGTAAGAAGGTAGATTTAATTAATAAACACTTAAGAATTTGCTAGACTGGTGAGATTATCAAAAATAAAAGTGCAAATAAAAATTTTTTTTGCCTATTAAATCATCTCTGATAGCTGCTAGATATGGCTTTCTATGTATTTGACTCTGATCCTCAATGCTAGCTGTGAGCTGGATTTTTATTTAAACTGAAAAATAATGCTTTGAAATTCGGGTGCTACTCTCTGCCTTACCAGCAGAATTGCTACCATTTTGAAATTGCTGCAGCTTTGCTCCAACCTACCAGCTTATACTTAGATATTATTGTTAGAACAAATCAAGCCCGAGTTTACCATATTCTCTTCAACCATCATTTGGTTTACTCACCACCCTCCTTGATATTCACTGTATAATCAAATGAATTTACTTATGCTTTCCCTTCTCACATTTTACTTTGTTCCTTTTCTATACCAAAGTCCTATTATTCATATTATTAAAGTACATATGGGTTATAATAATATTGGTTATAAATGTGGTGGTGGTAAAATTAGAAATTTCAAACATTGGTAGTGCCTGGACAAATTAATAAATTATGTTAAGAAAGCAAACAAATATGATGAATACATTAAATGTTCAAAAATAAGAGAATGGTTAGGAAAATTATTTATCAGTTTATATATTTTTATACACACAACACCTAGTATACATCTTATTTTTAAATACTTACAAAAGTATTTAAAACATCATGGGCAAAATAAAAACATTAAAAAATCAAACAAAAAATACAGGGAAAATAAAATCAGAGTTATGAATGGTACAAAAAAACATGCATCAGATATTGTGTTGTAGGGGTTTGGGGAAAAACTGATCTCTGCTTTTTGATCTTCCTACCAGCCAAGAGAAGAGAGAAGCACAGTCAACTGTAATACCCACAGGTGTCTGAAAGATAAAACAAAGCAGTTGATTAGAAACAATACTGTTTGTCCTAAACCTGAGAGAAATTTCTGCCATAGGTAAGATCCCTCCTACCTAGACGTAATAATTTTCAAAAAAAATTTTTTTGAGCAGAAAACTCCTTTTTCAAAAGAGATCTTACACAAATCCCCTATATTTAAACCAGTAAAATAGATAAAATGAACCTGCTCAGATAAAAGGAAATTGGTATGATTTTCTTGGCAAAAAGAAGTCTTAGAAAGAACAAAAAAGGACAAAGCAATAGAAAGAACCTCAACTTTCAGGTTAGGCAGACTAATACAGACATCAATTCAATCATTTACTGCCTGAGATTGAGCAAATTACTAATCTTTTGAATGTCAGTTCCCTCAGCTTTGAACCTACCTTATAGGGTTATGAAGCTTAAATAAATTTTAAAAAGTATGTAAAGCCCCTGGTACATAGAATGTAATAGAAAAATACTGATTTTCTTCCATCTTCTGTACTTTGATTATCTATATTTATAATATCCTCTTAAGTTGATTTTGTTAGTTTAATAGATTTATATGTTAATTACTTTATAGACAAGAGACTTTAGTGGGCCAGGGTTTATTAACTAGTTAATTAATTAATCATTAAGGTCCCAGTACTTGAGTCAGAGCTTTTGCCAGGCACTGTACTAATCGCTGGTTTTACACTTGTGATTATTAATCTTCCTTTATATCTGTGGTTATATTCTTTCATATATAATTTTAAGGATATGCATCTTCTTGTATTATTGATGTGCATTTTCTCCAGTTTATCTTTTTTTAATTGTCTTTTGAAGAGCCAGCACTCAAATTTATTTATAATTCCACTATTTCTTAATAAATTATTAATCTACATTTATATCTTTATTAATTTTCCCTGCTTTTCTTATATTCATTTAAAAGAATTATTTCTAGCTTCTTGACTTGAGAGATAAATTCATTTATTTTCATTGTTTCTTGTTTAATGTAAAATCATTTAAGTATTACATTTTCTTTTGCATATAGGTTTGGCAGCATCCCACCAGTTTTAAACCTTTTGTAATTATAATTTTGATTTAATCTTTTATCAGAGTTAAGAGAATTTTTCTTTTTAGCAGAGGGTACTTGTTGCCTCAGCACTCTAATATCAGTTAACCTTTTCTTATATAGCAATATATTTTGTTGGCTGAGCACATGGCAACCAACCTAAAGAGTAATACATCCCAGCCTCCCTTGTAGGGAGGTTTTGTCATGTAACTAAGTTGGATGAGGCGACATGAGTGAAAGTGATGGGATGATGAACTGGTGCAAACTGCAAACTCTTACTCTAAAAGGAAAAGTATGTCTTTTTCTTCTTAATGCCTAAAATGCAGACATGAAGGAGAGAGGAGCTGGAGCAGCTACCTGGGACCCCAGGGTAGAAATGGCAGGTTGAGGTGTATGGAAGACGCTTGGATTTCTGACACCAAGGAGGTGCCCTAACTACCGGGATGGCTTATGTAAGAATTGTTTGTGAAAACGAAATAAACTTTTATCTCATTTAAGGATCTGTATTTTGAGGTCCAGCATCAGCGACTGTAATTATAACTAATATCGTTAATAGTGTTTAGTTGCATTGTGTTGTTATCAAAGAAAATATTAATAGAATGTACAATTTATGCTTGCAATATGTTGAGATAGTTTTAATTGCCTAAAAGATGATTGAGTTTGTAAATATTTTATGTATTGCTTGTTAGTTTTCAAAGTTATTTAACTGTGTATGTATAAGTTTTGTATGTATTTGTTATTCATTCTACCTAATTAACCATATTACTACTTTCTATACTATGGTAACACACTGCTTCTATGGAATATTAATAGGTTCACCTCAAAATAAAATGTTTAATGCTCCCTATATGCTCTGCTTCCTGTTTTTATTGTAGTGGTTAATAACACAGACTCTGGACCAGATTGTTGACTCCCAGCTCCTGTGGATCAGGCAAGTTATTTATTCTTGCTTTTCCTCAGTTTCTGTGTCAGTAAAATAGGCAAAATGATAGTACCTAACTCAAAAGAGTATTAGGAGGAGTATAAGATAAATATATGTTAAATACTTAGAACAAGGAAGTAAGCATATTTTTAAACAGCCACATATTGATACATTGCTTACAAGAGGCCCTGAGAAGTAATGGAATCTGCTTAATATTACTTCTCCTAGCATTTCTGAAACATATTTGAGTGGGGACATGATGGTCACAGCCAGTTGAGGGCAAAAATGTGTTCATGGAATACTTATTTTAAAACCAACTGAATTATATTATTCAGCTCTACTGCATATCAGAAATTCTTCACCTTACCATGGGATCCATGAATGCTATTTAGGAAGTTTTTGAACCTCCCTGAAATTGACATGAGTTCTGTGTGTACATGCATGGGTACATATTTCTGAGGACAAGATCCATAGAGTTTATCTGATTCTCAAATTTCTCCGTATGGGCGCGGTGGCTCACGCCTGTAATCCTAGCTCTCTGGGAGGCCGAGGCGGGCGGATTGCTCAAAGTCAGGAGTTCGAAACCAGCCTGAGCAAGAGCGAGACCCCGTCTCTACTATAAATAGAAAGAAATTAAATTAATTGGCCAACTAATATATATACAAAAAATTAGCCGGGCATGGTGGCGAATGCCTGTAGTCCAGCTACTTGGGAGGCTGAGGCGGAGGATTGCTTGAGCCAGGAGTTTGAGGTTGCTGTGAGCTAGGCTGACACATGGCACTCACTCTAGCCTGGGCAACAAAGCGAGACTCTGTCTCAAAAAAAAAAAAAAAAAAATTTCTCCGTATGTATTTTTATGTTTAACTAAAATATCAGAGAGAAAAAATTGTGTTAAGTCTTCTGCTGCTTCACTGTTCCTTTCTTCTGTTCCTGGTTGATCTTCTCAAGTTCATCCTGTACATCATGAATTAGCTTTTTGGAGTATTAATGGATATTCATTATTTTATATGATTTTAAATTTCTATACAATCCTTTTTTATTTTAAGTCATTCTCTAACCATTTCATAAGAATTTTATCTCTTTGCATAGCTTTCTCTTGTTTTATAAAAAACAATACCTTCTTGCATAGCTTTATAAATGCTAATTGTTTTCTAATAGCATTTCCTTCTGGTTCCTGCAGGAAATCATTTTCAGAAACAAAACCAACCCTTCTGCTGGGTTATCCAGATGCTGTTTCCTATTATCTTGTACTGTTATTTCACATACATACTCAGGTTTTGCCTTAATTTTATTTATTTTTCTCATTCTTAAATAAAACAATATCCAACCATACTTCAAGTGTGTCAGTTTAGATGGTGAGCAAACATTCTTGGCCCATAACATTTTCCAACAGTGATTTAGAATAATCTTTTCAGGTGTAAATTTTATTGGGAGGATGATTCATATATATTTCATATTTCATAATTTCTATCATGTTCTTTCTTCCTTTGAGAGAACATATTTTATATCCATAATTGATACTCTGATACTCCAAAAGAATGCAAATATTTTTGCATAAAATATAACTGACCAGAATGTGTATTTACCAGAGTTTTTCTAGATTTCATCACTTTCTGCTAGGATTTACTGGTAGGTTTTATACCAATAACACCCACTGTGCTCTTTCCAAGATCCTACTGTGACTTGTTCCCCGTTGTTTTTGTAGATCTGAAGTCTCTACCTTAATGTGGAAAGGTGTAGGTGAGAAGTAAATGAAACAATATTTAGCGGAATTCAACTAACAGTAACTGAGGAGTAGAAAATAGCAAGAGCCTTTCTTCTGGATGAAATAGTCTCTAGGGGCAGATTTCAGATTGTTTCAAGGGATGGGTACTTTAGCTAGATAATCCTTTATTTCTCACCTCAATAGCTCTAACTCACCATAGTGTAAAACAACTAACACATCCTCCAAAAAAATTCTGTTTCTTTTCTTGTATTCAAAACCTTGGGTGATATCATCTACTTTCCTCAAATCTTCCACATCTGAGAACTCATGAAGTATTCTGTAAAGTCACATGGTATAGTCTGAAGAGCAAGATATTTAGAAGCGGCCTATCTGGTTGCAAAACCCAGATTGAGTATTCGATTTGCCTGGGTCTTCATGTCTTCATTTCTAACATGTTGCCATAAAGTCTTCCTACTAATGTCAAATAATTTTCATAGTAATTAAATGGGAACCAAAAATATTTTGCAATTATAACTATAGAAAACACACATATCAAAATTTGCAGAATGCAGCAAAGGCAGTTGTTAGAGAAAAATTAAAGTATCAAATGCTTTTATTAAAAAGTTCCAAATCCATGTAATAAGCTTCTACCTTAAGAATATCCCCCACCTAAAAAAGGTACAATGTAAACTCAAAGCAGGCAAAAGAAAGGAAATAATAAAGTTAAGAGCAGAAATTGGTGAAATTGAAAACAAAATCAGTAGAGGAAAACTAGTGAAACCAAAAGCTGATTCTTCGATAGGATCAATAAAATCTATAAAAATCTTGCCAAACTGATCAAGATAAAAATGGAAGACATAAATTACCAATGTCATAAATGAAAAAGAGAATATCACCACAAATACCATAGACATTAAAGGAAAAATACTTTTTATTTTATTTTATTTTTTTGAGATAGTGTCTCACTCTGTTGCCCGAGCTAGAGTGACATGGTCATACCTTACTGCAACCTCAAATTCTAGGGCTCAAGCAATCCTCCTACCTCAGCCTCCAGAGTAGCTGGCTCTACAGGCAAGCACCACCATACCTGGCTAGTTTTTTGTTTTTGTTTTTTTGTAGAGATGGGGGTCTTGCTATGTTGCTCAGGCTGGTCTCAAACTCCTGGCCTGAAGCAATACTCCTGTCTTGGCCTCCCAAAGTGCTAGGATTATAGGCATGAGCCACTGCTCCCAGCCAAGAAGAGAATTTTATGACAACTTTTGCCATATTTTTTATAATTTTGATGAAATAGACAAATTCCTTTAAAGACAAGCCTCTAAATTCA